TTCGCAATTAAGCTTTTATTTATCACACGTTCCCAGCAACATCATCATCATCATAATCATCATGTTCATCTTGCTGTTGTTGCTGTTGTTGACGGGCTCTGTGTGAAATTAAAATAAAATTTCTTAATTTATTTTCTCTTGCAAGTTTTTTAGTTATGTTGCCAACTCAAATACTTGGCAATTAACTCAAGGGCGAAAAGAACTTGCTGGCAAAGCGAGCACAGGCAGGGGAGAGGGTAGGCAGAAGGGGGTCGGATAGATTGTGTAGGCAGTCAGGGCAGAGCTGGTTGAAGTGAAACAGGCCAAAAAGTTTTATTTGCACTGGCTGCGTATGAAAATTTTACTTTGATCTTCAAATGCAGCAGCAGCAACAACAACAACAACAGCAACAACTAGCTACAACCCTAGTGTATGTGTGTGTGTGTGTGTGTGTGTAAGTTATATGTAGTTAAGACACTTTTGCCTCACCTTTGACTAGAAATAAATGCCAACAATTTGTTAGATTTGTGTTGCTGCTGTTGCCATTGCCATTGCTATTGCCGTTGCTGCTGTTGATAATCAAGCTGAAAACAGAGCCAAACTACATTTGTACCAATTGCAAGTAATGCGAGTTGGCCAACAGGCAGAGTGAAGTCGGGCCGGGGCAGCGTGGCAATGCGAACAGGACGCAGTGCAAACTACAAATGTAATGGCAAATTTTTGAAATTAGTATGCAACACGCATAACAGCAGCAACAGCAGCAGCAACAACGGCAACAACAGCAGCAGCAGCATCAGAGGTGGCAAATGCCAGAGCAGGAGGCGGGCAAGGACTCTGGTGCGGGTATGTGAGTTGCGTGCTAAGGAGTCGTGTCAACATATCCTTCACACAAGCAGGAATTGTTGTTGCTGTTGCTGTTGCTGCTGCTGCTGCTGCTGCTGTTGCTGTTGTATTCAGCATCAATAAGCGGCATATTTAAGCTGCTTTCAAGCCCCTTTTATTGTTGGCTGGTTTTAAGTAATTTTAATAGCACATCTTCTACTACACTTACACATACACACACAAATACATATACACATACACATACATATACATGTACACAATTTCTGGTATGTAGCAAGAGTATTAAGCTGCATATAGAGCGAGAGTGCTTCATTTTTGGCCACATTATGTGTTAGACTCTGCTCGGCTAATGCCAGCTTAGCAAATTGCTTTTCAGCGGGGGCAGCAGCAGCAGAGGTGGGCGCAACGGCAATTGAATATGAGCACAAGGCAACGAGCAGCGAAAGGAGCAACCTTGCAACGTGTTGCGACCAAATGAAGCTAAGCGAGAGACTGAGCAAAGGCATTTCGAATGCAAGTGCTGAATCCAGCTGCTAATCAGCTAAAGTTTAGCTCGGCTAACGAGCAGAAAAAAAATCAAATGAGAATAATAATCAAAAGCTGGACAAGACTTGGCCAGCAGCAAGAGCAACACTCAAGCTGAGCTGGAGAATTGAACTGGTTCATTTAGAAAGAATTTACTAGATATAAGTAAAATATATAGATAATATTGATTTGGGCATATTTCTAATTCATATTCCAGCGAATTCTCTGGCTATTAGCTCTCTAGCTCGAGCAGATCTCTTGCTAGCTCACTACTAATAATGCTACTACTACTACTACTACTTATACTACTACTAATACTGCTACTAATTATACCACTGCCACCACCTCTATTACTATTGCTACTTAGTACTACTATATCTACTGTTACTACTTTTGCAACTTAAAATCTTGCGGCAACTACTACTACCACTACTAGTGCTACTACTAAAACTACTACTCTTGCTACTATCACTACTACTATTTCTACTACTACTACTCTTGCTACTATCACTACTACAATCTCTGCTACTATCACTACTACTATATCCACTACTACTACTATTTCTGCTATCACTACTACTATTTCTACTACTAATACTAATACTCTTACTACTACCACTACTACTATTTCTAGTACTACTACTTCTACTACTACCACTACTACTATTTCTACTACTACTACTTCTACTACTACCACTACTACTATTTCTACTACTACTACTTCTACTACTACCACTACTACTATTTCTACTACTACTACTTCTACTACTACCACTACTACTATTTCTACTACTACTACTTCTACTACTACCACTACTACTATTTCTACTACTACTACTTCTACTACTACCACTACTACTATTTCTACTACTACTACTTCTACTACTACCACTACTACTATTTCTACTACTACTACTTCTACTACTACTACTATTCTAGTAGTACTATTTCTTCTACTACTACCACTACTACTATTCCACAAATACTACTAATACTATTCTTGCTACTGCTATCACTACTACTACTATTCTTGCTACTGCTATTACAACTATTACTACAAATACTGCTACTACCTATACTGCTAGTACTACTACTAAGATTGCTACTACTACCTATACTGCTAGTACTACTACTACTACTACTACTACTACTACTACTACTACTACTACTACTACTATTACTCCAGTAGGCAGCAGCAGAGCAAAGCTAAAGCGTACATCACTACATAAACCACTTGAATAGTTCACTTTTCTAATACACAGTTACTAACACCTGTCATATGAACCAGTTCAAAATAAAGAAATTCCAATTCACCCAAGAACTAGTTCATTTTAATAAGGCAATCAGAAGTCAAAGAAGCAATTAAACCAACGTCTGCTCGAGCCACGTCGCAACAGCAGCAGCTTATGATTGACAACTGACTAAATGACTAGTTTGGTTGATTGATTGTGTGCCACGCCCATATTGCATGCAATTGGGCCTAAATTGGCCCAGCTGCAAAATTTGGCACTTGGCCAAAATGCTCAACGCTTCAAATATCTGCAGAACTTGCCAAGGCTCAGCCTCAGAGAGGGAAATCGAGGGAGATAGAGTGAGGCTGACAGAGAGGGAGATAGAAACACACACACATACACACACTCAATTACAACTAATAATGCGTTTAAATTTGCCAATGTTGTAAATGACAGAGAAAACGCCCCAAGGCAATGACACACACACACACACATGCACACATGTGTATCCGACTCCCTGCCTCTCTCTCTCTCTCGCTCTATCTCCCTCTCTCTGTCTGAGTGTGTGCACTTCATGCCCTTTCATTATGCAACAATTTCAACGTACTCGACTCATCTCGTTCTTTTCCTTTTTTGGCATGCACAAAAATTTTTGTTTGTTTAGCTTGGCGCGCATTTTCGCATTTTCCAGCACTTTAGACAGCGCACGTTTTTTATCACAATTTGCCGACTTCACCAGCAGCCCAGCCCCAGCCCCCGTCCCCGCCCCAGCCCCAGTCCCAGTCCCTTGTTCCGGCCACCTCAACTCAAAACTTCCACTCACTTAGTTTCATTTTGCCACCATATAAAAGAAAACAATAAAAAAAGCAAAAACAACAACAACAACAACGAAAACCAAAAACCAATTGAAAGCAAAGCGCAAAAAGCGCGCGCAAATGATGCAAGCAAACAAAAACAACAAAAAATGCACCAAACAAAAACAAAAACAAAAAAAAAAATTGAAAATTTAGTTTTTTACATAGCTGCTGTCGCATGCCTGGGCGCATGCCACGCCTCCCGCTGCCGCACTTAACCTCGTTTTACGCCCAGAACCCTTTGGCTTACGTGCACTTTACAACTATTTTACAATTTCAGTACCAGAAATTCCCTTTTTATATGCGTATACCCTGCATGGCCATCAATGTCTAATGGCAGTGGCAGCAGGTGCTACCGATAGTCCTCCAGGGACCCATTGAACTCGATAACTAAACGAGTTAGACATGGTAAATTTGGTATTTGAGGCATTTGAAACATAAGCTGAAGAATTTTATACATTACCAGGCAGTAAGTGCAATAAAGTTTCATATCAATCATAAATTAACCCATTGAACTCGCGATCTATACTAGATAACAAGAAATCATTTGAAATTCCTGACCTTTGCTGCTTAAACTAAGAATATTTAACTTTAGTTAGGCAATGCGTGGCAAAAGAAACTCTATAAAACCGTCATCAAATTACTATTATACTTAATTTTGTGTTTCATACGGTTTCCGTAAGTATAATCTACCAGAACTCGGGATCTATGGAAGCTATGAAGACAATTTTTGGTGTGGGCACTACTTAGGTGTGGTCAGATGGGAAGTGACATAGAGAACTCAATTATAATTTTACATATTAGATATTAACCCATCGCACTGGGGCACTGTAAAAGCTAGAAATATAAAACTTGGTATGTTTGCTTCTTCTATTCTCATTAAAACAATTTCACAATTAGCTAAACAAATTTGATATAATTTCTATTACATTTGTATATGTTCTCCTCTCTAGCATGGGATATCTTAATGTCTAGTATGCCCATCCGTTTGTTCTTTTTCTCATACTGCCATTTGGTGTCTTTTATATCAATTTTAAGTGTTTTATTTTTTTAGTCGGTTGCTGCTTTGCACGTCCTCTGCTCGACTTGTCGTCTAACTTATGCCATCTCATTTATCTTCGTAACTTCTTTTGCGCTTGGCGAGACTGGCGGACAGCAGCCGGGGAGGGGGTAGAGTGAGTGAGCTATCAGGCAGTTATTGCAATTTTTTACTCTCTCTCTCTCTCTCTCTCTCTATCTCTCACTCGCTCTTTGTCTTTCTAACATAGTTTTAAGGACAACAGAAATGTTTTTTCCTTTTGTTCTGCCTCAAAAAAAAAAAAAAAGAAGAAATTTGTAGTTGAAGCTTCAAAAAGTTTTCCTATGGGCAAAAAGTTTTGACTTGCATTTTTCGAATATGCATCAAACAAAAACTTTCAACGTTTTGCCTGAAGTTTATCAGCAGAAATTTAAGAAACCAAATTTGATTAAATACCAGCCTATATACACTTTAGCTATCGATATTGTACTCGAAGCTGTTTATCGATTTTCTCAAGCTAGTACCAAAATGTCGAATTGTCATTTCAGGACCGTTTATTGAAAGTTTGTCAAACTTTTGTCGCAGAAAATTTCCATATAAATGTTTGTAAATGCCATTAGCTGGCATTATTATAAAACATACCAAATTACATAAATGTGTGTGTTGTAAAATCGTATCATTTAGCTAAAAGTATCGGCCGTATGTAAAACTATTAGAGGCGAGAGCTGTCCGAGCTACTTTCGTTCATTGGCTTGCCATATTGAAGCAGATCATTGACACGCGAACAGATGTTCGAGTCGAGCTCATGGTGCGGATCTTGCATCCAGAAAAAATATCGATCAATCGTATTCTTATATTTGAGCACATAGATGCGGCCGGTTTTACAGGACTCGACATGTAGAAACTCGAGATTGCCCGGCTCAGTGATAATGTCCAGCTCTGGATATTTCGCATGACGGTCTTTCCAGCAGAAGTGTAAATGTTCATTGGCATCGAAATGCAAATAGATCATGCCATGCCGTACATCGGGCTTCACCTGCTTGTCGATCAAATTCATGCGACCCGCTTTGAACTCCAGCAAGTGCTCTTGGTTAACTTTTGTGGGCGGAAGAAGTAGTCCATGTTCGCGTCCAGTGCTAATGCTCGATATGCTCTCAGTTCCAGCATAGCTCTGCACATCCGTCTCTTTTGGTTCCGGCTCGGGCTCCTTCTCATTGAGCTGCTCATTCGGCTCACTCGTGGAATTCTCTCCATTTGGATTGTAGGGAAGATTGGCAACAGGTCCTATTCGATTATCCGTTGGATTAGGTGGTTCGAAAACGTTCGCAACTATATCGGCGTGATCCGCTTGTATTGCCTGATCTACCATAACAACTTGAAGCGGATGTGTATAGACATAATGATTCTCATTTGCATCCAGTGTGTCTATGTGGGTGCTTATGTGCTGGTACGTACTTCTTAGTACGAAAAATTTAGATGAATTTGAAAACTGGATTTTTTCACCTTTTTTATTTTACTTATTTTTTTTTTTTTTGTTTCTGTTTTGTTTTTTTTTTTCTGCTTTTTGCAGTCAATTGTTCGTACCCGGCCGACAAATGCTTACAGACTGTGAAATATCAGGCCAGCTGCTCAAATATCAATTAGAAGCCTACTTTGATGTCTATGTGTGTGTGTGTGTGTGTGTGTGTGGGTGCTAGAGTTTTTGTCTGTGCGAGTTTATAGCATACTTCTGGGCCACCTTCGACTGCAATTGACCTTTAATTGCGCACTTAAAAGCACATAAAAACGTGGCCGGAACATGGCCAGAACATGGTCAGCATATGTACAATACAAAAGCCACGTGCAATCGCCGTGTGTGTGAGTGTGTGTGTGTGTTTGATTGGGGCGTGTTACGCGACGGAGGGCGTGTCGCGGCAGGTCGTAAGTGCGGCCAGCTTAGCTGCGCACAATTAAATTAAAGTGATGACTTATATAGCTTAACGTGCATCGCAAACCACAGCAAAAAGAGCGACAGAGAGAGCAGGAGAGCGATAAAGAGAAAGGGAGAGAGAATGGGATAGACAGAGCAGGTGAGATAATGCCGGAGACACTTCAGATAGCCAGAAGCAAGTGTTATAAGAGGTAAGCAGTAAAAACACTTTTCGCAATGAACACAGCTATCGATTTACATATCGATAACATAAAGTAATCAGTGTGATACATATCGAAAATAAATGGTTAGGCAGCTAAGTATGCCTGATTATAGCACACACGAGCCTAGCTGCATGTTATCGATAAATGATGAACTTATGTTTTAGGCCATACAAATATTGATTTTCTATATGAAAAAATATGCTTTAAAGAGATTTCTAAACATAAAATGCAAATTTGTCAGTCAATCGATAAGCCACGCTTATCTGACTATATAACACTACATCTTTTAGCTATCAGGATTATATATCTAATATATAGAGTCTTTAATCTGTGGCAGAGCAAAGTTATTGCTTTTCGCTTGAATGTTTTTTATGTTCTCCTTTGCCGCTGCAAGCTGAAACCATATAAAATACACACACTCATCAGCCTGTGCATGTGTGTGTGTGTGTGTGTGTGTGTGTGTGTGTGTGTGTGTGTGTGTGTGTGTGTGTGTCTACTGCATCATTAAGATGTAACTACGTATACACCATGTGTATAACAAG